CACTTAGCCTATGTTTGGTTTGAAGGAAAAGATAGAAAAAGGAAGGAAAAAGTAGAAAAACCTATATAAGGTTTGCAAAAGTTTTCATACATTTTCCTTCCTTTCTCTACTTTTTTCTTCAAGCCAAACACAGCATAAGTGGCAATTTGATAACAGCTGAAGATGCCAGAGTAAAAAAATTTATTGCTTTGTCTTTTACTGAATAAGTTTTTAAGCAGGTTGTGGGCTTCCTCTCCCTGATATCTAAAACTGAAATTGGGCAGATCACTATACCCTTAAAATTTTCAATATTTAATCATTTTACCAACTAAAAGACAAAGCTACAAGTCTCTCAGTTTGACATGTTCAACTGTTATCAAACAGCCCCTAACTTATGTTAGATTTGGATAAACTTCAGGATTTGCATATTCGAAGCCCAAAAGCATAAAGCCACAATTATAAGCTTTGTGTTTTGGGGCTTAAAAGTATTTTAACTTAACTTATTGTTGTATCCTTAAAAGCAACTTTTACCAAACGCTCAAAATACTTTTTAACTCATTTTTATTTATCACAGCCCAAAGCTCAAAAGCAAAAGATTATCTAAATGGAGCCGGGTCCGATCTGAATCTGACAGCAGTGTCTGGTTCCAGTTAATGCAAGAGATTTCAGTTCACCCAAAACAATAACACATTGACAGGAGTTCAAATCAGCCCCCACAACGTCCCACGCGGGGGGAGCTGATTTGATCTCCATTGACAGCTGCTGCCTTCGCCATTTGAATTCCATATGAGATACTGTCTGTGCCAATTTTGTTTCCATCAAATACTTGGCTTTTTTTCTTCCAGTGGTTCACCACTCACCACTCAAGACTGTCTCATAGCAGTGAATTATGTGGCTGAAAATCTTCAGAGCTCAGATGTTTTCAAGTTTCTCCAGATGCTTATGGGATTATGTCTGGGTCAGTGAGATTGGAAGCTATGAACCTGTCCAGTACTTGGGCTGCATTAGTGGGCCGGGTTTGGATCATCCTAGTTAGTGGGACAGTTGGGGAAATTTCAGCCCCGGTTCTACTTGGCCCCAACTATGATTAGCCTATTTGGATCTTGAACAACAAAGGTAGATTGTTTGTCCCATTAGCCGATGATGAATGGATCCGACCAACCGAGCAGTGAATTGACCTCGCCAGTCACCACCTAAGAGGCATTCTATAATGTGAATGTTTTTGTTTTTATTTGTTTTTAAAATTATCACATCAATCAAAAAATTAAGAAAAATTTATAATGCGACAAAGACATGATACTGAAAAATCCACCCAAATTTTGATATTTTTAAATCAGAGGGTTTTGATTTGTTTTTAGAACTTACAAGAAAAATAATTCTCATTGGATGTTCTACAATATGAATGTTTTTGTTTTCATTAATTTTTGAAATCACTATAAGAAAAACAACTTAGTTTTGTTCCAGAAAACAAATCATGCTTTTGAAATCATCAAAATGATGGTTTAAAAACAAAAACAAAAATGGAATAAGAATATTGTTTAATTTATAAAAAGATTATGAGAGATCATGGAAACGTGTTTTTCAAATCAGCATGTTTTTTCTTTCAGTTTTGAAAACAAAAAAAACTTGTATTGAACCAAGAACATGTTTCCCCATGTGTTTTGTATTAAGAACCAAATTGTTTCAAATCAGATGACTTTGATTTGTTTGTGGTACTGACAATAAGAAAAATAATTCACATTGGACAACCCTCCCCCCTCCTCCCTAAGGCTGTGTTTGGGAACGAAAGGGACCTTCACAAACCTTGTATAGGTTTCCCTACCTTTTCCTTCAAACCATACATAGCCTAAATCTATATCTATACTACCTATAAAAGAGTGAATTCCCCTTTTCATTGGACGTTTTCTACCCCTCTTGTCTAAGTACACAGCGGGCATAAAGAGGGCATATATGTCCTTTACTCTCACTTCAAAAACTGCCCACTCATAACTGTTCAGAAACTACCCACTTATAAGTTATAACCATTTAGAAACTGCCCATGAATTATAAATAGTTGTCTTAAATATACTGCTACATGCAAATGCATGTACACATTTACTAGTGAACATAAACATGTATGTGAAATAATGTTGTGTATCAGTTAAGTGAATCTCATGTACAATGTTCCATTTGAGTGATGTATGATGCATTTGAAAGCAGTACAGGAAATAGAAACCTAAGGAGAGTCTATTGGAGTTCCTTATAGTGAATACAAAGCAATGTTTTCAATCTATCATTGACCCTGACCGATTGAACCGGTTGACCTATCACTTGGTCAGAGTTCTGGTGTAAAAAATAGATCAATTACAGACAGTGTCAACTGAAAGCCCAAACCCCAAAATAGTATGAAGGAGCAGAATCTAACCCATTAAAATAGTATAACTTTAGGTTATGGCCCAGGCAAGCCCAAAATCGCAAAAATACAACAAACATCGCTCTTTCTAACAGATTCACTTATTTGGCTCACAATTTTTGCGATTTTGGGCTTGCCTGGTCATAGCCCAAAGTCATACTATTTATAGATGGGCTAGATTCTAAGCCTTTAGGCTTTAGTGGATTTGATTTCAAGCCCTAGCCCGAAGCGAACACAAAAAATGAGGCTGGACCAGGCCCATGTCTAACTCAAATACGAGAGCAATAGGCTTACCCAAAGCCATGGTAACTTTCCGGAAGTCCTCTTTCTCTCATTATCAAATTTTTTTTGGCAGTCGGCTATGTAAATGGCGATATCAAGAGCTATATATTTTTCTATCAAATTCTAAATCATTGGATCAATTCTTACCATTTCAACCCACATTTTTTTTTATTGATCTTATTCTCCCTTCATCATTCATTTTCTTTTTCTTAGATGGGCAAACTTACAATGAGATCGGCTTCCGTGCTCACACCTTTTGCACATCCCTTACAACTTTGCATTGGGAATATCTCTCCATGAAAAAAAAAGCATACAAGTACGGAATATGTCAAATACAGGGTTGCAAGGGACTGTGAACTGTATGAACACGGTCTTGTGAGCACTGAAGCCTATCTCACAAATTATTCTTCAGAAATCAAGACCAAGCAGATGTGAGGGTAAAACTGATGTTCAAGATAGGAGAACCGTAACTGCTTGTGGTGTTATCTCAGTGATCCGATCAAGAGTGGTTCAGCTGTGATTCTGCTGAGATTTTAGAAGCTTATGCGATGATATATTGGAGTTAAAGATGGTACTCGGTCTTGATCGTTGGTGGCTGCTCGGTGGAGGTTGAACTTGTCCGGCATCAAAACAACCTGGTGCCTTGCAGTCCATTGTTCCACGACTATAGATGTTTGTTGAGCCAGATTCCTAGTATTGGGATGGATTTACATTCCACGAAATTTTACATTTTAAATTCTAAATTGCATAAGAAGAAAATTCCTCCTAATTAGTCCTTATTTCATTATCAATGAACTCTCCAAGGTTTTAAAAACTGATCCAAAAACGGAAGATGACAGGTGATTTGGCCCTCCAGTAATATTGCACCACGTAGTAAGTCCGAACTGTTGTATGACACCTCGGTACCACATGTGACCGGACCTTGACTGACTAAGCCGGCCAAAACCAACATCTATGAATCGGAACTCAACCAATGGGAGACTTACAGACCACTCGATGATAGCCCAGAGTACACCACCTTGAAGGAGTAAGTCAATGACCCAAGCAACCAATTGATCTCCCCAATTTGGGCAACTAGCAACCTGCATGGTTATCCAACCTCCGTGGTACTGGCTTACGTGGCATGTCCAGCCTCATCCGCTCGCCTCGCCTATCGGTTCCAAAGCACACAACGACACATCGCCTACTTGGTAGTGATGAGTCCGGTTCCGTCCGCTTCATAAGGAACCAGATGAGGATCATCACAATGCCGGTACGACATACCCCGAAGATAATGGGCTAATAAAGCTTATCATTCCTAGGTATCTTAGATATACCACTCGGGCCCTGATGTCTATATAAAGGGACCTCTAAACCTTTATAAGGTACGCGTGATTATGTGCAAATTAACTCTCTTATTCTTGGAATCTCTCTTCTTTCTTGCTCACTAGCTCAACTTAAGCATCGGAGTGCCTAGTTCGGGTCCAAAGCCCTCAAGTAATCAGATCCTTTGACTCTAACAAATTGCCCTACCGACCTCAACATCCCTTTGTCTGGGTTGTCCTCTAGCAAGGAAGTTGGACGATTCAAGCAACATCAATTGTGTCGTCTATGGGAACCTGAATGAAAAGCCAATTCAGTTTCTCACCAACTCAATCTCAATATGTTTTCACCAAAGAACACTCAGATTGGCGGAACCTCCATTCGGGGCCATATACAAGCAGTCGAGTCCTCAATAGTTCCTATCGACGAGGATCATCAGCAATTCCAAGAGTTGATGCAATACATCCGAAGCATGGACTTGTGCATGTAGTCATGGGAGTAGTGATTTGCTGATCTCGAGCCAATGCAGCCCCAGGTTCCATTGTAGACTCAATCACTCCCTCAGAACCAAAACCATAATGTTAATCGGCCAATCACCCCCTCGGAGGATAGATGTCAACCTCATGACGTCTTAGAGGACCCTACTAGGACCCGAACTTTCGAAGTGTGGGGCACGACTTACGTCCCTAATGAGGAAGTTATTAGAGCAACCACCTCTATCAGGTTGGACAATTTGGCTTTGGCATCAAGCTTTAAGTGGAATAGGTGCAAGAGGCGTCCTAGATGTGAGCCCGTCAAGAGCTAGCTTGGCCCGAAGGTGGAAGATCGTCAAACAAGCCTGACTAAGGACCAAGAAGCTAGCCGAGCTCTAACCCACTATGTGTACCTCCGCACATGTAACTACCTCAACATTGTTCATTAGTTAGCCAATTTTTGTATACTATTTCATGACTTAGAAAAAATAAAAGTGCAACAATCGAGAAACACATTAGCACAATGAGAAAAAAGAAGATTTTCATTACTTAGTAAGAGGAATACATCGCTATTCAAACAAACAACAGAAGCTCAGAGGTTTGTGATACATCATATATACAGGGGGTCCAAGAAAAGAGTCTAAGTGTCACTCTTGGTTTGGGGGCTGGAGCTAGTTATCATTCTCGGTTTCTATGTCGTCCTCCTTGATGTCTCTGTCCTCCTCCTCCTTAGTGCCCAGCTCCTCATTGACCTCCTATATAATGTAGGTAGTGAGGGTCGAGAGCACTAGCCAATCGAGAGTAATTCGAGAAGAGCGATCCAACAAGATGATGACATAATTTGAAGCCCTTCTTTAGGGTAATGGCGGCATATTTGTTCTTCTCCTTAAGGCCCAACGACAAAGCGTAGAAGTCCTCCATAGCCTTCTCCTGTGCTAGGTGGATGTCCTCACAATGTATGGCCCTCCTCTCCACCAGCTCAACAGCTTGCTACTCTAGCTCGGTCATCAAGGACTTCACGTTCTTCTCAGACTCAACCAACCTCTTAGACATGCTGGCATTCTCGGCTTTGATCGCCTCAAGATGCTCTGCTGACTGCCACACGCTGACCCGAGCTCCAACCAACTGAGTTTGGAGGCCATCCACCTCCTTCTAGGCTAGCTTGTAATGACATTGGGAAGCTTTCCACCTTCCCATCAGAACTTGTGCCATGCTATTGGCCTGCAAGGGAGCTCGGATTAGTATAGGTTAGACAAAGACAGAAAAATAGGGGTTACAAAAAGAAAGTTTTAAGTTCTTACTATTAGGATGGCTCAGATCAACTTCCCACCAAACACCAGGGTAGTCTGGTCATTGAAACTCCTCACGTCCGTGGGAAGAAGGATGCCCCTACCCAACTCAAGCGTGACCAAAGGGTCCCGAATCCAGTTAGAAGTCGTAACATATCACCTCGAGTTCAAATTAGGAGCCTATGTTTCAATCACGCCTGGGATGGGCTCAAACAGGATGCCCAAAGTTTGGATGGTTTGCTTGTTGTTGCAAGAACAAATCACATCTTGTCCCCCTTCTCCTCATTGACGAGGTCAACAACTACAGTGGATCTATGCTCCTCGAACCACAGTCGTTCTACTATCGTAGCTCAGGAAGAGTCACCAACCTTCCTCTTCTTAGACTTCTTCATGGCAACGCCAAGAGCTCCCGACGTGTTCATGCGTCCCATCTCTCCTACAAAGGTACAAAGAGGTCAATAAACTAAGGTAAAAGGTACAATTAAAGGAGGAAATGCCTAAATATCAAAACCTGGAGGACTCAACCCGGCTCGAATTAGTGCCTCCTCAATCAAGTGGTGCCTACAAGGGTCTTAGTGGAGTTCAGGTGAAGTTGATCTATCGAGATGTCGTACTATTTCAACACCTCAATGATGAGGGGGTGAAGCGGAAACTTGAGACCGGTCACCAAGGCCTACTCGAAGATGTAGACCTCGTTCTCCTCGTGCTCACAAGGAATTTGGCCCTCGATAGGAAGGCAACACTCATACCGATAAGGAATTCTATACTGAGCTATGAACTGCATAACCCCGTCGGGTGAAAGCTCTGTTGGGTCAAACTCTGACTTGGTCTTGGATTGATAATGGGAGGTCGAGGTCCCTTTATAACCTCACTGTTCTTGCATCGAGGACCCTCCTCCACAAATGGCCCGCTGCCCCTCTCCCTCAAACTCGCTAGCCAACATAACTTAAGGAAAGAAGAAAAGAAAATAAAGGGAGAAAACTCATCGAAAGCCTAAAGATTTTGACTGACAATTTATTTGGTTGGGCTAATATTCAATTTAAAGTTCTCCTATAGCAGATTTTGGATGATGGCATATCCAATCCAGATTTTTTTTATAGGAGTCTTCAAGTCTTACAGATCTATTCTTGAAGTCCATGATGCTCTAATAATCACCATGACTGATTTAGGAATCTCTTGCAATAAATGGGTGGATTCAGGTTGTAGTAAAATCATAATTCTATGATCTTTTAATACTACACTTTAGCCCAGCTTTAGATTTAATTTGATATATGAAAGAAGGCTTCAAACTCCACAATGGTTTTCATGGAGAATTGGAACCAACAGTTTCAGACAAAGAAATTGAAAGATAATTCTCCCAAATGGAATTGTTGAGTACATGGAAGATCAATTGATGCTATCAAAATGGTAGCTTTCTTGTGAAAGAAAAAAAAAGGGAGACAAAGAAAGGGAAGGAACAAAAGGAAAGCAATTTACTCAAGTCAGTTTCAAAAAAAACAGTAGAAATAGGATTTTATAATCCCAAGAGAATGATTCAAATTTGAATCATATAATCAATGATTAAGGTCAAGCCTTATCTCCTCGATAAGAAGATAAGGCTTGAGGGTGCAATCTGTTTAGTATTAAAAAAATGTGATGGAAAGTGCAAATAAGAATGCATCATATATGAATAGAGATTCCTATGAACTACGAGCCTCCCCATCTTAGAATCATAAAAGAAAAAGAAAATAAAAGAGAAAAAGGCTAGATATAACAGTTGGCCTACCTCATCTAAATTTAAATTTCAAATCACTGAGGTTGTGGGAGAAAGTTAGGCAACCACCCCCGTATGAAGAGTGGGGAGGTTGCCTTGACTCCCATGCTCGTAACTACTTCTTGTATAAAAAGGAGAGAGCAGAGGAGAAAAGGGGCACAAGAAAAGAGAAAAGAAGAAGAGAGGGAGAGGAAGAAGAGAATTGCAGATCTGTCGAGTAAATAGATGCACAGGTAACACAGGTAATTGTCATTTTCTTTTTCTTTTGAACAACTTTAGTCCTAATCCTTATCCTCTCGCTAGACTTGGATTAGTATGGGACTCTCACAATCTTTCCACTCTCATCCCAAACTCTATTTCTACCTTTTGCTGCTGAATACAATTTGGCATTCAGTGGAGTTTATCCATCCAAACCCACAAAATATACTCATAATTTTTTTTACAAGTGTTCACTACTATGATTTGAATATAAAAATCCAAGAAATATACTCATAATTTCTTTGAAATCCACAATTTTTTTCTTTTGCCCTGTTGGATGATACTATTGTTTTTTTGAAAATAAAAATCTCTATGAAGTTTTTATTGTTTACCTTTTGTATGGCTTAATAAAGAAAAACATGGTGACTTCATTTCCTTTGGCAATTCAATCTACAAATAATACTTCAGGTTGGTTTTCAACCAATGTTGGCAACCCATTTTTCTTAAATTCGTTAACCAAGCAATTCTCAAACAAACTATCAGTATGGAAAAGCTATATATTTCTACGTGATTCATTTAGTTTAATCAAACCTATTTCTTGAACCTACTAGCCTGCTAATTAGTTTTATTTCTTTGTTTTTAGTATCCAAATAAAAATAACCAAAATAATGGAAAAGATAATTAGTCCGTCCAAATAAAACCGGTTGGGTTTGACCGTTTGAGGGAGATGATAGTAGTAGGAGAGAAAAGTCCTTAATTGGGTTGCCAATCTGAATTGATGGCAACTCTTATGTGCATATTTGTTTGTGTGCACATGTATATTAATCTTCAATTGAAATATCTTCCTGAGTAATTGATGTGAGTAGCCGAGTATAACATTTCCTCCTATATTTTAGGCAATAATAAAGATGGATGAAGATGGACTATTCTTTAAGAAGAATCTTGGCAAGTCTTCAATCTTAGTCAATGGCAGGGAGGTAGGATTGGACAATGTACTAGTCTCAGTTCAAGTAGTTTGATTGAGGTATTGGGCCTACTTCAACAATGAAATTTCCTTATTAATCTTTCAAAACTGCAGATTCTCTAGATTGCTTGGATGAATCACATTGTTTTTATGAGTGAAATGCATCAATCATGGTTTTAGAAGGCAAGTTCTTAAGGATCTGTGGAAGGATTCTGCCTTAAGGATTTAGCCTCACAATGGCTTAGTGGAGGTTTATGCCTCTAAGAAGCTTAAACGTAAATACAATGACTCAAGGCAATGAGAGGTATACAGTTCTTAGGCTGCTTGTTTGGTATGAGAAAAAGGAAAAGAATTATTTTCTTAGGCCAGTTTGTTTGGTTTTATATACTTTTATCAACTGAACCGATAGCTCGTGCATTCAAGTATAACATCGGTTCTACCATTTATGGCTTAGATTTTTCTCATTTACACCATGAAACCTATCATTTCATTTGCATTATCCTTTACTTTTTTTTAGCTTTTTTACGTGACTTTTTGTGCGAGAAAACCTGACAGTTTGACACAATATAGACTAGAGAATAGGGAGGCAGGTTAGGGGTTGACAACTTAATTAACAAAACAACAAACATGAAGGAGGTTGGGGCTTTTGCATATACATACGTCGGCTCGGGTCGGTTTTATTTTGGGTTACAAAGACATTACCTACAACCAAACCAAGCCTTCGGGTTCTAAATTTTTTTAAACTGAAACTGACCAAGTTTCGTTTAGAACTGACCATTTTGGGTTGAGTCGGTCTAATTTGGCCAATTTGGTCAGTTTTTAATATTTTATGAACAACCCTAATGCTTATTAGCGGGGACCTGTGCGATGCATGGGATTTGTCAAAGAAAAAGGAAACAACAGAAAATGATAACGATTATAAGGAAGGAATGCAATGTTGTTTAAAATGATTAATCTTTATTTTAATAATTTGTTACAAAAAAATTAGTAATTTTGTAATTTGGATTAACTATATGAATATTTTTATCAAAAATAATAAATTACTATTAATTACTTAATAAAATAATTATTTTATCCATATTATTTATTAGTGTTCTATTTTATTTATTTTACTTTATTAATGATTCAATTTTACAATTTTTTTTTGTAAATATTACTTAAATATTAGTAAATATATAGAATTAGGTTGTAGTTGTAATTAAATTAATCTAAGCTCAAACTCGAGGTTTAATACTTTGGGTTGGGTTTTGGTTGATCCTCAATCTGATCCAATCCCCAAGTTGCAACCCTAAAAGCAATGTGAAAGTTGTAATTAGATAAACCAAACTGAGTATTGTTATCACAATTTGAACAAGGGAAAAAATAGAATGTGAGGGTGTGTCCAATCATTGAAATTGATATATTTGTTTCTGTTAAGGCTGGGAAAGGACAATTATGTCCCTCACTTACAAGAAAGAATAAATAGAGAAATAATATTGTACATATGATACAACATACAAATGTACTCCCAAGAGTCAAAAATAAGGAAACAAAATGCAAGATACACAAATTGGTCTCTACAGTACAATCCATGCATGCATTATTTTTAGGTTTTTAACTATTTTTAAAAAAAAAATTATTAATATTGAAAATGAAAGAGCTATGGGGGATGGGCTACCCCATTGTGTAGCGTAATGAACCAAAAAAAAGAAAAAATAAATAAAAGATCCTGAGCCAATATATATATATATATATATATATATGGATATATATATATTTATGGATATATATATATTTATGGATATATATATATATCCATAAATATATATATTTATGGATATATATATATATATTTCGGAAATATACATATTATATATAATATTTCAGAATATATTTTCTGGAAATATATTTAAAACCAATATATATAGGTATATATATATTTAAACAAAAATATATATATACAAATATATTGGAATATATATTTTCTGGAAATATATATCTAATATATTTCAGAATATATATTTTTTAGATATAGATTTTTTCAGATATGCAAAACCGAAATATCTTTATTTAACAGTTTTAAATATAAAATATATTTAAATTAAAACCAAAATATATATTTAAATAGATTAGGTTTTTCATACAAAACTGAAGTTTTTTGTGCAAATATATCATAAATAACCGGATTTTTTTCAAAGCTTAAACTTAAACAAAACACAAATAAAATATATTAACTTGTAACATGCATTAAATTTAAAAAATAAATAAAAAAAAATACTAACCTTTGAGATTAAACGTGATACTTGTTGCTTGAGTCTTGAGAAGTTGAGACTTGAGACTTGAACTTGAGTTGAGAGACTGAGAAGATGGGAGTTGGGAGAGCCACGTTCGAGTGATGTCTTGAAGTTGAGAACTTGAAATTTCAAATTTTTTATTCTTGAGAGTCAAATTGTATTAGAGATTGTGCTTGAGTTGAGGGGCTAAGGGTGGACCAAGTTAGAAGTTACCAAGAAAAGAGAAAGTCAAATTGTATTAGAGAAAGAAGACTGAAATTTGGAAATTTCAAGAAGGCTTCTAATCTAAGTAAAAAATGACACCTAATTGTAATTGCCTATTTGGTGTAAAAGACCTTAGAAACTAGGATCCTTTCTTTAAAYTTTTCCAAAAGCTGCAAGAAGCTATCATCTAAAGGAGGAAAGGTGTAGGGAGTAGGAATAGGGATTCCTTGTCCTGCAATACTTAACATTAATGTCATTCCTAACTAGAAGACTAGAAACTAAGTTAGGCTGTAACTAGCATAGAGATAACTTAGTTAAGTAGGAACTAAGTAGGTTGTAACTACTAACTAGTAACTAAGTCGGTTCGGGTTGGTTTGGTTTCGGTTTTCATGTGTGAAAACCAAAACCGAACCAAACCATCGGTTT